CATCATCTTCATCATCGTCGTCATCACCGCCATCATCATAATCATCGTCATCATAATCGTCATCATCTCCGCCACCATCATCCTCAGGGTAATACTTCTGTTAGTAGTGATAATACTAGAATGACAACGAGCTTCCTGCTCAGCAGCTTAGGGCTCTTTGTGCAGTGAGCAAAATCGAAAAACACACACTCAAGACAAGAACACCACAGCCCAGCCGCCAATCGGTCTGCATCTAATGGAAGCGACGACGCCACGAAGACCGTATTGTCGTAGTCTGGCCGAGCTCGGGAAGTAAATTTGAACTGTTGAAATATGCCTGAAACAGCCCTACACCCGCGCTGACGGTTTGACTTCTTGGACCTTATAGTGCTTGGAATTTCATGCCGTGACTCATGGGGTCAATGTTAAGACAGCGTTTCAAATCTTGTCCTGCACATCAATCATCAATCCTCACGATCCGACCATTGCGACGCCGCAACCCGCTTCTGGTGTCGGAAGGCCCCAAAACTGCGATAATGATCCGCAAACCTGGAAGCATCTTGCGATCGGACGAGCTAGCAAGACTGTTGTCTGCAGAGTTTGTTTAGCTGCATTCCTCGTTTGCAAGATTGTGTCACTGAGAGATCGGCCACGAATATCCATAACAACCCTACACCATTTGTTCAAAATGCTGGGCTCTCAGCGATGATATTCTAGAAACTACCGTAACCCGAAATCCACCACTCCGGATAATAGCCTCAGCCCTTGACCCACAATCCGATCATCCCGAAAACCTACTCGTTGCGAGAGCTACGAAGTCTGTATGTGGGTATGCGTATGTGCATCCAAAACCGCTGCACCCGTCAACCTTTGAACACGAAAGCCCAAAGCTTCAACGGCTACTTAACGACTTTACACCATATTCGAAGCAATCAGACTCACAAAATGGTCCCAGACATCCGTAAAAGCCAACGTCCCGGACCCTAGCTCTTCGCGCTTCACCGCCAAAACCTACAAAACCTGAACCCCCAAACCTCAACTCCATAGACCCTTAACGCCTGGACTCGAAAGCCCTTGAAACTTTGCGGGCCTTGGACTTGAAGATGGATGAGCTGCGGAAAATGCCGGCGAAGGACTCGGCAGAGTAGTTGCTGCTGAGGTCTTGGGATTTTGGTTTAAATAGATCTCATCATGCAAAACAAAATACTGCATAGCTCGCAGTGTTTGGGGATCTAGGCCTTTGGCCACTGAATCAAGCAATCGAAACCCAAACTATGACTGAAGGCATGAGGGATCGCGGGCTTAGTTTTCGAGCTGGGAGGAAGTTTACGAGCTTTGTGAGGCTTACAGTTTTTTCGATCTGGGCGTAGGGCTCAAGACTCAAAGGGAGGCTCCCTGTTTTTCTCTACCTCGTCTCCAAGGAATGGACCATGCTTTCAACGAGAACAAGACGTCCAAGGCTTTATGCAGAAGATCACGTGACTTGGGTTGAGACCGAGTAGAAACTATACCACCCAAAGCGGTCGTAGCGTGCAAGCTGGTACCTTGTAAAAAAGCTTGTACAGCTAGCAATAATTATTCCCTCCTTCTCCGAGTAGATGTTGGGTTTGTTGCCTTGTCTTCTACGGGTTTAGGACGTGTGGATCTTCAAGGTTCGGGGCTTGGTGCTCAGAACTTGCGGCTTTAAGTATGCTTCCAAAATTGCCACCGGGAGTCTGGTCTGGAAAGCTGCGGCTTCATCGAGCGTGTTGCTGATGAGCAAGCCGCCTTGCTCAAGCGCTGACACAGAAACCCCACGCCCTGACATCTGGCACTGCCGGCAAAGGACCTGGAATCGATCCCGTAGAATACTCGCTTCAGGAGATGCTGGAGGCTAAGGATTCGACTCCGGGATCACTGCCCGCACACACTGGCCTGGCCGCACATGCTTCGCAGCCAAGCGCAAGCCACGCTGCAGCATCCATCCTTTCTTCGGAGAGGTTTAGAGGGGTCAGAGAAAAAGGAGCATAGACCACCAACAGCACATGCATCGGGTCTCGGCCATGCCCTGCTTGTCGTTACACGTCACAACTACGAGCAGCACGAGATAACCTGATACGGGACCGCAAAAGCCATGTCCCGGCCTTCCCCCCGCGCTGAACTTGGGCTGTGCGTGACACTTTGCAGCAAATGAACTTGTCCACCACTACTACTCCTCTGTTGCCCTGGGGCCATAGATCATCAATATACGCGCCAAGTGCATGCCTAGCAGCTTGGTTTGTGCACACTCCGTGCATACCCGACAAAAATGTCGTCGATAACGACATCAAACTGCTGCTTGTCCTGCGAACACTGCCACTGTGCCAAGGGAGTCAGATTTTCAAGTTGGCTCAGGGGATGAACGATATGATTCCAGCAGCAGCAGCAGCAGCAGCAGCAGCAGCAGCAGCATAGCAGTAAGTAGCAGTAGCAGTAGAAGCAGTGGTTGTAGTCGTCGTCGTTCGTCCTCCGTCCTCCGTCCACATCGTCTTTGTCGTCGTTACTGCGCTTGTTGATCTGCTGCTCTTGCTGCTCTTCTGGCCTGCTAGCCACAGGAAGAATGATCCTACGGGAACGCTACGTGGTTGTGTTGGTGATGGGGCTGGCAGGAGCCACGGTGCTGCTGATGCTTGTGCAAATCATCGTCGTCGTGGTACTGGTGGCGTTGTAGTACACATTTCTGGGGAGCACAGCAGCAGCAAGCAGCAATAATAGCAGCAAGCAAAACGGCGAAATGATTGGTAACACGAAGTGGTGGTGCTGGTGGGAGATGACAGCTGCTGGCATTGCTCCTGCCGCCCCGAAGACCGTACTGGAAGCAGTACTGGCCTCACTGCCACCGAAAAAACCCTGAATGAACTGGCTAATATAGGAGCCTCAATAGTTAGAATCGGGTTCTGGGGTATGTTATACTATAATCAAAGCCCCGATATCAGAGATGCAGGGCCGGTCCTTTTGGAGCACCTCCATAGCCTCGGTGTGCTGCAGGTTTTAGTGCCGGTGTCTGGTGCTTGAGAAGCCAATTCGGGTCGTGAACTATGGGCTTGTAAGCTGATTCAACAGAACTGAGTTGAAATGTTAGAGGCTGGAGGCTCGAAGGGACACTGCATGGGACTTCCGGTTTAGAGACTGCTGTTGCCCGTGTGGATTAAGGTAACGAGCATTGAGCTTCTTGCCTGCCTGCTCTATCTTCGCTTTCGCCGACCCATACACCTGCTGCATTTTCGGTACCGAGGCCTCCGTACCAGGCCAAGGAACATCACACCGCCGCACGTCCACTCCCAAGTCGTCAAGGCCAAAGTGACGTCTGGCTGCGTCCAGTACCTCTGCAGCGTTACCAGGTTACCAGAGAGCAGGTTACCAGAGAGACCGAAACTGCTACAAACATACTGCCGGCACACGGCCAAAGCCCAGAAGCTACAAAATCAGCGACCGAGACTTTAAGTTAAATTCCAAGCTAGAACGACATGGCAGGCATGCTAGCAGATCTGAAACCTAGCCGCTGGCATGTCCAGTGTAGGGTAGGGGTAGCGGATGCACCATCTGCGCGCTCATGTTCGAACTTGCGTTTGCCAATGTAAGGTTCATACCTCATGAATCATCAACATTAGGATTTATAGGGTTTTAACAAGTTTTAACTGTGAAGTCCGTGTAGGGTGCGCAGTCACCATGAAAATCGCGAAAGGATCTTGAACTTGAGTTTCGATTTCGGATTCTGTTGCTTGTCCTTCCCGCGAAGCCTGCCAGATTGGGCATTTTTCAACCTGTAGTGCGAAAAAAGAAACCTAAAGAAGCCTATAGGTCCCAAGTCACTGGACAAAATCCGCAGCCCCAAAACCTCAAGGACCAAAGACCAGCGATTGCAGGAACCTAGTCCAAACCACTACTCGGGGACTGTACTTCCATTGCAGTGCGTTGGGATATTCATCACGGCGTCATCACGCACCCCCGCACAACCTCTACTACTACACACAAACACACACACACACACACACACACCTACACCTACCTACCTCTAAGGCCAAACAAACGAAGTGAGGATTTGGAGACCCGCCTCATCGTCCATCTCCACCCCCACAATACTGGCCTGAAGCACAAGTAGTGCTCAAGGGGCTTTGGCGTTCTTTCCGGCTGACGGCTGATGAGTCAACGCATGGGAGTTGGATGCCAGGGTGTCGCATTGCGGCTAAGTGTTTCAGACTTAGACCTGAAAGGAGCTCCTACTGACTAGCGGCGACGGTTTCAATGAAGAAAGCTGCATGTCAGAGGTCCAATAAATGCTCGTTAACGTCACTCTGAGAATACAGCACCTCAGCGTCATCCCTGGCTTCCCACCACACTTCCATCGACCCCGTCGAACTTGACACGCAAACACAAAACCCAAGCAGCACTTCGGATTCCACCCCATACCGAAACCGAAACACAAACCTATAATCTAGAAACACAAAACTCAACACCGAAATAATGAGCTAAATCCCAAGCCTGTAAACCCCCTCGAGCCTTTGGGCATAATGCCCTTAGCGCCCGCGCCACGGTGCCACCACCGAGGCCAAG